AAGGGAGGAGGAAGTAGGCCACGTTTGGGGTTACCGTATTTTTCAGAGTATAAGATGCACCCAGATTTTCACCCTCTTTTTGGGGGGGGAAAGTGCGTCTTATACTCTGAAAAATACGGTAACCCCAAACGTGGCCTACTTCCTCCTCCCTTTTAGACTTTGGAAGGTTTGATGAGATTTGGAGAAGTAGTTTTGAAAGACTGTGAAACTCCTTCTGAAATTTCATTCCGTGTCATCCTCTTCTTTTCCACTGCAGGTGCTTTCCTTTTGCTTGACTGTATTAAGTCGGCGATTTGAATTTCAAGCTGATGCATTTGCCAAGAAACTCGGAAAGGCAAAAGATTTGTATTCTGCGTTGATCAAGTTGAACAAAGATAACCTGGGATTCCCCGTTTCAGACTGGTTGTTTTCAATGTGGCATTATTCTCACCCTCCACTGTTAGAAAGACTTCAAGCACTGAAGGAAACTAAACAGGACTGAAGGGAAAGAACTGAGGAAGCCAGAGGAGAAACCTACTCTCCCCAAATCGGTTTTTTTTTAAAAGAAGTAATTACAGTATACCCATTTCATTCCTAAACACAGCATCCTGCATAGCTCTATGCGCTGTTCACTTGATTTGAAACAACCTCCCCAAAGTCCTGTTTCTGACTAACAAATGAATTGTAATGAGGAATTGAGGGAGAAATGTAACGTGTGTAACATTTATCTTAAATCACAAAGCCATGCTTGAAAGGAAAAATAATTTGTCACAACCGACATGCCCCTGCCTGAATCTTTGAAAGCTTTGAATGTACCTTTTAAACACTTTCTCCAGATGTTTTTAGACAGTATGGGAAACTCTTACTCATCTGTGGCAGGGCTGGAGGATAAAGATCTGAAAAATAATTTTGGGACCATTGGGATTTTACATTTCTAAACCCAATCGCTATCCAGATGGGAACAGTGGGATTTTCTTCCACGGTTCAAGTTCTTATCTGCAATGAAATGCAGAGGTGATGAAAACACCTCTTTCCCCGAATAGGGGAAACAGAAAATAAACAGAAAATGAATTACAAATTATATATACCTTAGTTATGTGTCCTATATACTGTATATTACTATTGCAATGGTTTGGAATTTGGCTGGCCTTGTCTCCTGTAGCTACTTTTTCCTGGTAGCAAATAATTGAAATGTGGTTTTCTGGGTGTCCCAAATATCACTTATACCTACAGATACCCCTTTGGTTTCTGTTGTCTGTCTTAGAGCAACTAAGATGATCGAAGTCCTGGAAACTAAACCATATGAAGAACAGCTGCAGGTTTTGGATCTGGCTAGTCTAAAGAAAAGAAGAATTAGGAGTGACATGATAGCAGAATTTCAGTATTTGAGAAGCTGCCACAAAGAAGAGGGAGTTAAATTATTCTCCAAAGCACCGGAAGGCAGGACAAGAAACAATGGTTGGAAACTAATCAAAGAGAGAAGCAACCT